TCCCAGAGTGCCATTTGGTTCTTTATATATCTTTTGTATCTTTGCTGTGACTTTCTATTTTCCCATTCATTTCAAGAATGTTTACATTTGACCGAATAATTTTATAATAGGTAGCTTAAAATCTTTGTCAAAAAATTTCAACATCTGTCATTTTACCCTATCTGTTGATTGTCTTTTTCCATACAAGTTGAGGTTGTCTGGTTCTTCCTATATTGTTGTATTGTTTCCTGGTTATTTTAATTATTATATTCTGACACTGGACCTTGTTTGACTCCTATAGCAGCAATCGACCTGGTTATATTTAGGTCACAGGCCATAGCCCTACATCTGTGGGCTCTGGTCCTAATACCAGCTCTGTCTTCTTGTTCCCAGAGTGTGAGTTGGCTCTCCTCCAGTATGCACTAAGTGTGGGCCTGGGCAGAGGCTGGGCAGAGGGCCATCTGCTATCTCAGCCCTCAGCTTCTTTGGCATGCTGGTTAGGATCTCATCTAAGCATGTCCAGACTGAGGGAAACCCAGTAGCTGATAAACAACTTTACTGGGTCTTTTCTGGAGTTCTTCCTTCTCAGCTGTCTCCCTGGTTTTGGTCTTCTCTGTCCTTGGGCCTTCTGGTTTTGGTCCTCTGGCCAAAAACCACCTTTTTCATCAGTTTGCCAAATCTGGGCCTGAGTGGTGGGAGCACAGAGAAAGAGAAAACCAGCAACAAAGGACTGAGCTCACCAACTGGAGAAGACAGTTCCCTTCTGAGTTTTAGCCCCTGAAGATTCCCTGGCCTCTATTGCCTCCCACCATAATGGATTTTATGGGACCTGGAGCAAGAGGACAGAGAAAAGAAAAGGCAAACACAAGGCAGATTTCCACACAGGGTCTTGCTGTGTTGCTCAGGCTGGTCTTAAACTCAGGCCTTGAGTGATCCTCCTGCTTGGGCCTCCTATAGTGCTGGAATTACAAGCATGAGCCACTGTGCCTGGCCCAGCACTGTATTTTTCCATTGTACCCATCGTTCATTGGACTGCTGCGTGGTTTCTGTCCTCCACTTCTTATTCATGAACTGCCTGCACAGGTGCCTCCTTGGCCTGGGCATGATCTGAGGGAGGAAGTAAACCCTGAGAGGACTGGGGAGCCGTCCCTGTAACTCATTTGCATTTCACAATTTGCTCCCTTGTAGCAGTGCCTGAAGATATGTGCCTTTAGCCCCATGTTTCTGCCTTATATGGCATTATTTAGTTATTGAACAGATCACAGAATGCCGTTACCTGGCGCACGTTGTTCTAGGCACTTGGGATATATCAGAAAACAAAACCAGATGAAAAAGTGAAACAAAATCCTGTCTTAGAGTGTATATTCTTGCTCTCTAATATTTGCCAGTTTGATGAGTGTAAGGTAATATTTCACTGTTTTATGTTTTTCTAAACATGACTTTGAGTATTCATAGCATTAGCCATTTGGGTTCCTCACTAGTGATTTCCCTGCTGTTCTATTAGATGTTTGATATTTTTCTGATAGAACGTAGGAGTTTCTTGAATGTTTGTCTCTTGTTGGTTTTAGATAATATATGCTGTGATAATATACGCTTGGTCTCAGTCCCTGGTTTGTGACAGAGGGCTCCTGAAATGTTCATAATTTCCTGAGTGTTGGGGTGATAGGAGCATCTTTTGTTATATTCGATTGTAATCCCGTGCCTAACACAAAGGATTCTAAAACACTTGGAATGCCCAAAGTGATGATTGGTGGCTGGAGTCCCTAGATGGCTTCACAGTGGGGTGGTGGTGGTCACCTGAAAGACCAAGGCATGGTTAGAGGGTTGGGAGGTCTGGCCCTGCCCCAGACCTCAGGGGATGAGGGAGGGGCTGGAAGTTGAGCCAGTCACCAACAACTAATTATTAAATCAGTCATGCCCACATAATGAAGCTTTCGTAAAAACCCTAAGTGATGGGTTCTGGGAACCTCCAGATTGGTGATCGCTTGCACATGCTGGAATGGTGGCACACCCCAACTCCACAGAGAAGTGCCTGTGCTTGGGACCCCTCCAATCCTTGTCTGTATAGCCCTTCATCTGGCTATTTATTTGTATCCTTTATAATAAATTGATAATAGTAAGCAGAGTGTTCCCCTGAGTTAGCCATTATAGCAAATTATATTAGAACTTGAGGAACCTGAGGAGGGAGTTGTGGGAACCTCTCATTTGTAGACAAGTCAGACAGAAGCTTTGGGTTACCTGGGGCCTACTACAGATGTACCTCAGAGATATTGTGGGCTCAGTTCCAGACTACCACAGTAAAGCAAATATCATAACAAAGCAAGTATTGCAATAAAGTGAGTCATACAAATTTTTTGGCTTCCTGGTGCATATAAAAGTTATGTTTACATTATACTGTAGTCTCCACTGAAGTCTTGAATCCTTCAAAGTTGCCCATTGGAATCAACTTCTTCTAAACTCTTTAATGTTGATATTTTGAGATCCTCCCATGAATCATGAATGCTCTCTGTGTCATCTAGAATGATGAATCTTTTACAGAAGGTTTTCAATTTAATTTTCCCAGATCTGTCAGAGGAATCACTATTTATGGCAGCTTATAAAGCCTTATGAAATATAAACAATAAGACTTGAAAATCAAAATGACCTCTTGATCCATGGGCTGCAGAATGGATGTTGTGTTAGCAGACATGAAAACAACATTAATCTCCTTGTACATTTCCATCAGTGCTCTTGGGTGATGGTGACCAAGAGCACATTGTCAATGAACAGTACTATTTCAAAAGGAATCTTTTTTTTCTGAGTAATAGGTCTCAACAGTGGGATTGAAATATTCAGTAAACCATGCTGTAAACAGATGTGCTGTCATTTAGGCTTTGTTGTTCTATTTATAGAGCATAGGCAGAGTAGATTTAGCATCATCCTTAAGAGCTCTAGGATTTTTGGAACGGTAAATGAGCTTTGGCTTCAATTTCAAGTTACCAGCTGCACTGGCCCCTAAAAACAGAGTCAGCCTGTCCTTTGTAGTTTTGAAGCCAGGCATTGACTTCTCTCTAGCTATGAAAGTCCTAAATGGCATCTTTTTCCCAGTAGAAGTCTGTTTTGTCTACATTGAAAATCTTATTTTGTGACCTTCATTAATGGTCTTAGATCTTCTGGATAATTTGCTGCAGCTTCTACATCAGTATTTGCTGCTTCCTCTTGTACTTTCATGTTACAGAGATGGCTTCTTTTCTTCAACCTCTTAAGCCAATCTCTGCTAGCTTTAAACTTTCCTTCTACAGCTTTCTCACCTCTCTCAGCCTTTACGGAATTGAAGAGAGTTCGGGCTTTCCTTCGGATTAGGTTTTACCTTAAGAGGGAATGTTATGGCTGGTTTGATCTTTTGTACAGACTACTCAGACTTTCTCCATATCAGCAGTAAGGCTGTTTTGTTTCTTATCATTTGTGTGTCCATTGGAACAGCACTTTTAATTTCCTTCACGAACTTTTCCTTTGCATGTAGTACTTGGCTAACTGTTTGGTGTAGGAGGCCTAGCTTTCAGCCCATCTGGGCTTTCAATATGCCTTCCTTACTAAGCTTAATCATTTCTAGCTTTTGAGCAATATGTGACTCTTCCTTTCACTTGAACACTTAGAGGCCACTTAAGGGTTATGAATTGGCCTAATTTCAATGTTGTGTCTTAGGTAATAGGGAGGCCCAAGGAGAGGGAGAGAGATGGGGAAATGGCCAGTTGGTGGAGTAATCAGAATGCACACAACATTTATTGATTAAGTTCACTGTATTCTATGGGCACAGTTTGTGGTGCTCCAAAACAATTCCAGTAGTAACATCAAAGATCATTGATCTCAGATTACCATAACAGATATAATAATAATAAAAATTTTGACATATTGCGAGAATTATCAAAATGTGACACAGAGACACAAAATAAACACCTGTGTGATTATTTCACTGTGAATTAAACATCAATGGGTAAATGAGGTTGATAGACTTGCTCGACACAAGGTTGCCACAAACCTTGAGTATGTAAAAACCACAATCATCTGTGAAGTACAGGTATGCCTGTACTTGTGATTGGCTTTAAAGTAGGGACAGTCTTGTGCAACTGGGCCGTTAACCTGTGGGATCTGGGCTGGTTCTAGGTGGATAGTGTCAGAATTGAATTAAACTGTTGGACACATAGTTGTTGTCGCAGAGAACTGGAGAATTGCTTGGTGTGAAAATCCATACATTTGGTGTCAGAAATGTTGTAAGTAGAGAGCTAGTTTCCTTAGAGATTTTTAGATACTCCTTATTGTTTATAATCTTAATGGGATGTAATTTCTTTCACAGATTTAGATATATATTTCTAATTGTGTCATTTAGGCAGTTATTTTCTAATGATAGGATGTGTTTACACTTTAAGGTTAGTTCTTTCCTCTTCATTTGCTATGTAAGGAGTTTTATGGCTGTTCTTGACTGAAACTTTAAATTGTTAATGGCCTAAAGTCATTGTTCTTAACTTTTTCTTTCTGTCAGTGCTCCTGAATTATCCTCTGTTAGTGGTAATAGCCCTGTGTAGCAGTAGTTCTCAGTTGGCAGTGGAGTAGGACATTGCATACAGTTAAACAATGATTTTTTAATCTTACCCCGATACCATGTCCTCCCCTTTCCCGTGGACACACAAGCAATTGAGCTTCACTGGATAAAAGCAATTAGTGTGAAATTCAAGTGGGTAAATATCAAAGATAAAATTTCTCAGTTGTGAAATCTAATAGGAAATTAATGGAATATCATTTTGGAAGACTCATGCTTTAAAGAATTTGAGCGATATATTGGTTTCTTTATTAAAAGGGTCATTGACTACTAAATAAATCACACTGGATCTTTTATAGTTATGATTCATATCTTATATTTTTAAAATCATCAAATATTCAGTTAATGATGTGTGTTGTAATTTTTCACACTTGCAAAGAGATTGACAAGTGGCTATTGCAGTTTGAAAAGCAATTACAGATTTAAAAATTTTTTAATTCTCCAGATGATGGTGTTGATACTCAAAGTGGATCAAAGAAAGAAGATCTGAATGACAAAGAGAAAAAGGATGAAGAAGATGCTCCTGCACCTGTTTACAGGGCCAAATCAATCCTGGAGAGCTGGGTATGGGGCAAGCAACCAGGTAATCTTCTAAGTTTTGGTGCTTTGGAAAGCTTGAACTGACACTCCCTACTCCTTTTCTAAATACCTTAGATGGACGTTTTTTTTTTGGTCATAAAATTTTCTAAAACTTAATTTAATTTTTTTTTTACCGTCTTGTAAAATATATACAACATAAAACTTATCATTTTAATAATTTTTAAGTGTACAGTTGAGTGTCATTACATACATTCACATGATTGCCCAGCCATCACCACCATCCATTTCTAGAACTTTTTCCATTTTCTGTCTCATTTTTGGAGACAGAGTCTCTCTCTGTCACTCAGGCTGGGATGCAGTGGCATAATTATAGCTCATTGCAGCCTCAAACTCTTGGGCTCAAGTCATCCTCTTGCCTCAGCCTCCCAAGTAGCTGGGACTACAGGTGTCAGCCACTGTACCTGGCTCATTTTCTCTAACTGAAACTCTATACTCACTAAATAGTAACTCATCTCCTACCCCCAAGTCACTACCATTCTATTTTTGTCTCCATGAATTTACTACTGAAGTTAGCTCATATACATGGAACCATACAGTATTTGTCCTTTTGTGACTGGCTTATTTCTCTTAGCATGTCTTTAGGGTTGTAAGCACATGTCAGAATTCCTTTCCTTTTTAAGGCTGAATAAGAGTCCAATGTATTTTTTATATGTATATACACACACACATACACATACACAAACCACATTTCGTTTATCCATTCATTAGGTGATGGGCACTTGGGTTGCTTCCACCTTTTGCCTATTGTGAATAATGCTGCTCTGAACATGGGTTTATAAGTGTCTGAGTCCCTGACTTTCTACCACCCCCCCACCCCTGAGACAGAGTTTTGCTCTGTCATCTAGTTGGAGTGCAGTGGTGTAATCATAGCTCCCTGCAACCTTGAACTCTTGGGCTCAAGCAATCCTCCTGAGTCATCCTCCCAAATAGCCGGGACTGCAGGCATGCGCCACCAGGCCCAGCTACTTTTTTTTTTTTTTTTTTTGAGACAGAGTCTCGCTTTGTTGCCCAGGCTAGAGTGAGTGCCGTGGCGTCAGCCTAGCTCACAGCAACCTCAAACTCCTGGGCTCAAGCGATCCTTCTGTCAGAGCCCCCAAGTAGCTGGGACTACAGGCATGTGCCACCATGCCCGGCTAATTTTCTAGTATATATTAGTTGGCCAATTAGTTTCTTTCTATTTATAGTAGAGACGGGGTCTCGCTCTTGCTCAGGCTGGTTCGAATCCTGACTCAGAGCAATCCGCCCGCCTCGCCTCCAGAGAGCTAGGATTACAGGCGTGAGCCACCGCGCCGGTTTTTTTTTTTTGTGTGATTATAAGGTCTTGCTGTGTTGACCAGGCTGGTCTTGAACCCTAGCTTCAAGGGATCCTCCTGCCTCAGCCTCCCAAAGTGTGGGGATTACAGGTGTGAGCCACCACTCATGACCTTGATTCCCTATTTTTAATTTTTCTTTGTGTGTGTGTATATCTACATCTATATCTATATACATATATATATCTATATCTCTAGAAGTAGAATTGCTGGATAATATGGTAATTCTATGTTTAACTTTTTGAAGAACTGTCAAACTATTTTCCACAGTGGCTGTACCATTTTTCATTTCTCCAGCAATGTGCAAGGGTTGTATTTTCTCTACGCCCTCAATGACACTTATTTTCCCTTTTCTTTTTTGATAATATTCCTAATGGGTGTGAAGTGGTACAATATCTCATTGTTTTGATTTGTATTTCCCTAATGATTAGTAATTTTGAGCATCTTTTCATGTGCTTTTTGGCCATTTGTATATGTTCTTTGGAGAAATGTCTATTCAAATCTTTTGCCTGTTTTTGAATTGGATTGGATTTTTTGGTTTTATTTTTGTTTTTGAGTTGTAGGAGTTCTTTATTGTGGATGGACTTTTATAATTATCAATTTATTTTATCCAAGCAAATAAAACTCAGTATTTTTATTGTTTGCTTCTTTATCTTATAATTTAGTTTTTTAAATGCCTCATGTATTTTTGTTCTAATTTTTTTTTTTTTTTTTGAGTCAGAGTCTCACTCTGTTGCCCTGGCTAGAGTGCTGTGGCCTCAGCCTAGCTCACAGCAACCTCAAACTCTTGGGCTTAGGTGATCCTCCTGCTTTAGCCTCCCGAGTAGCTGGGACTACAGGCATGTGCCACCATGCCTGGCTAATTTTTTCTATATATTTTTAGTTGGGCAGTTAATTTCCTTCTATATTTAGTAGAGATGGGTCTTGCTCTTGCTCAGGCTGTTTAGAATTCCTGACCTTGAGCGATCCACACCTCGGCTTCCCAGAGTGCTAGGTTATAGCGTGAGCCACCACGCCGGCCTAATTTTTAAAATATACATTGAATAAATGAATATTTTTGTAAAAATTCATAAAGTGGAAATTCCTCTTGACTGCCCACCCCAATTGAAGTTTTCTCCTGAGCTGCTACTACCAGTTTGGTGTACATTTCAGACTTTTTTTTTTGCATGGACATACATTTAAATGTGTGTGTATATTAACACATTGTATATTATATATATATATATATAAATAATTTGTATTTGGGATTAATAATATACCTACCTTATAGGATCAGTAGAGTAGAAGCAGACAAAGTGCTTATGCTATTATTAGTATCTTACATGCAATATGTGCTATCAAGTATTAGTTGTTAGTCAGAAATTTGTTGAAATGTGTCTTATATTTTCTTTTTATTTTGATTAGTCTTGTGGAAGTTATCAATTTAATTGATTTTTTCCAAAGAGCCAGTTGATTTCATTGATTTTATTTGTATATATTGTTTTCTGTTTTTATTGATTCTGCTTAATCTTTATTATTTCATTTTTCTACTTGCTTGGTCTATCTGCTGCTCTCTTCTAGTTTCTTAAGGTAGAAGCTTAGATCATTGATTTTGGATCTTTTGTCTTTTTAAATATGTGTTCAAAGCTATAAATTTCCCTCTAAGCATTGTTTAGCCGACTCTCCTGTGGTCTCCATGTTTGTTATTTACTTACCCACTTGCGTCAGAGTATCCAAGCATCTTGATTGCCTGCAATAAATGACTAATGCAGGCCTGGCGTGGTGGCTCACACCTGTAATCCTAGCACTCTGGGAGGCCGAGGTAGGCGGATTGCTCGAGGTCAGAGTTCAAAACCAGCCTAAGCAAGAGCGAGACCCCATCTCTACTAGAAATAGAAGGAAATAAATTGGCCAACTAATATATATAGGAAAATTAGCCAGGTGGTGGGGCATCCCTGTAGTCCCAGCTACTCAGGAGGCTGAGGCAGAAGGATTGCTTGAGCCCAGGAGTTTGAGGTTGCTGTGAACTAGGCTGATGCCATGGCACTCACTCTAGCCTGGGCAACAAAGCAAGACTCTGTCTCAAAAAAAAAAAAAAAAATGACTAATGCACTGGGCAGTCAATATTGAGGCAGTATAAGCAGGAAGAGGACGTCAGGAAGGGCATGTGGATGCTCAAGGGCATAACTGCCTTCTGAGTTTTGGGCTTGTCTCTGGGCTCTGCAGCCAAGCAGAGAGGAGACATATTTGAAAAGTGGAAAACATAGTGACTCTTCAGGAAGGATAAAGCTTTTCCGAGACTTGATTTCTGGAAGAAATTTCTCTTGGGGACATGTCCTTGATAGGGCTTTTCTTTGTTCTGTGAGGGATTGGGTGCCTCTCAGTGCCGATCCAGGCTCCTTGCCTAGAGTGCAGCATAGTGAGATGCCCTGAGAAGGGCAGGAGTGCTGCTTCACCTGCATATCTTTCTGCTTCTCCATCATGAGCCCAATTTAAAGTGTTATTCATCTAGTTTTACATAGCTATTAGCTGTTGGTTACTGGAGCTTTTGATACCAAGGGGTTTGTTCCAAAGCTCCAGGCCTCACATCGTGCTGCTGGTGTTGGACGCAGTGCACCACTCTGAGCCTCCCCAGGGAGCAGTGAGATGTATTCCTCTAATTAATGCCTTCTGAGATCCCTCTTACTGTGGAAAGCATTTTCAGGTGGTGGGTAGCCAGAAAACTGATGTTTTCTATCCAAGGGAAGTTGATAGGGGTGTTGCTGTTGCCTGTCAGGGTCCGAGGCTGTGAGGCAAATTAGCCTCATGGCTAATCAGCACCAGAGACAGAAGACGAGCATAGGCGAGCCGTGCTCTCGCCCTGCCGCTGCGAGTTGTCCTGGTGTAGTGGATTAGGAGGAGGTAACTTAAAATTCAACTGTGAGTATCTATCTGTACTTTCAGACAGACTTATGCTTAATTGGAAGACCGAATCCTTTGAATTACTTTCATTCATGCGATTGCCCTCTTGCTACTTGAAAAATATTCTTTAACATGGATGTTTTCAAGCACATACAAATAGAATAATATAATGAAATATCACTTACTCACTGCACATTCTATCTAGTTACTTTATCTTTCTCTGAAATATTCCCATGAATGTATTACCTTTCATGAATCATGCATGCTAGGTGATTTTATTGAAACATTGATTTTATTTTGGATTTGGTTTTATAACATGAAAATAACGGCTAGAGTTTTTCTGTCTGTCTAGGAAATGTGCCACTGGTAAATATCGACTTTATAGTTTTGTCTTAACAACTTTTATGTGATGTTTACAGAGAGGCAGTATACCATGTTGGCTAAGAGTGGTCTGTGTCACGTGCTATACTCCTATGTGTGACCTCGGGCCAATTACTTAACCACTCTGTGCCTCAGTTTCCTCATCCATAAAATGGATGGACAGCACTACCTCCACTGGGTGTGAGGATTTCCTAATTCATGTAACATGTTCAAGACCTTTTTGGTGTATCTCATGCACTCAAGTATTCCCTATCATCATTATCCATTTTCTCAACTTTACAACAAACTGTGGCCAAGATATTGAAAGGTGAGATGTTTTCTTGTCTTGTTTTCCAGATGCGAATGAACTGAAGGAATGTCTTTCTGTGCTGGTTAAAGAGCAGCAAGCTCTGGCCGTCCAGTCGGCCACCACCACCCTCTCGGCCCTGAGACTCAAGCAGAGGCTGGTGATCTTGGAACGCTACTTCATTGCCTTGAATAGAACTGTTTTTCAGGAGAATGTCAAAGTTAAATGGAAAAGCAGCAGCATTTCTCTGCCTCCTGTGGACAAAAAAAGGTAATGATAAAATGAAGAAAGAATCCTGATGTCAACTAAATATAAAATTCAGGCTGTTTCATTTAGGAAAGTTTAATTAAAGTTTTCAATGCAGTCTCTTTCTTCACCTTGTGAAATTTTATTCTTTACTTCTCTTTTTGTATGTTTTGTATAATCTGGAGAATGGATTTGCCAGTTTGCTCATATACTAACAGGCCATATTTGTGTAATCTGTTATTATTTTAAAGACCCTTTTCTGTCAGTAACTGTAGAAGCCAGCCAGAGGTTTAGATCAGCTCAAGTCCAATTTTGAAAATAGTTCTGAATGTTGTATTCTTTCTGTTTTGTTTTGTTTTGCTACTGGATAGGGAACAGATTGTAATGTTTAGTGCTAACCCATTTAGATGCTTCATTTTTTTCTTCCTAATGTGATTTTCTTATTCTTTTATTATAAGAAAAACTTTTGGGCATATGAGTTTTAATTTGTTGATGTCTGTTAATACATCAGACTTCCTCTGAAGTATTTACTAGCAGCCACCAGAACGTTTGAGGCTTGTGTAAAATTATATTTTTTCCTAAATGTAGCTGTCTACCAAACTTTTGTCCTTAGAAGGCTAAACTTCTAGAATACCAGATGTAACTCATTTTAGGTAGTTAAGAGAGTTGGCTTTATTTGTCTGTAATAGTGACTTTGACTCCCTGGAGAATGCATAGAAAGTACTAGAGACAGAAAGAAGCAGGCTAAGAACCTTGATCATCTTGCTCCCTGGAGACAGGTGTGCTCCTTGTCGCCTTTTTCCATCTTTTTTTATGTTTAAATCTAGTTGAAATCACATTACAGTCGGCCCTCTGTATCTGTGGGTTCTGCATCCATGGCTTTAATCAATTGCAGCTTGAAAATATTCTTAAGAAAAGACCCAGTAAAAAATAACACAACAACAAAAAATAGTACAAATGAAAAACAGTATAGTATAATAGCTATTTACATAGCATTTACATTATATTAGGTATTATAAGTAATCTAGAGATGATTTAAAATGTGTGGGAGGATGTGTGTAGGTTATATACAAATACTAAGCTATTTTGTATCAGGAACTTGAGCATCCTTGGATTTTGGTGTGGAGGAGGTTCCAGAACCAATCCGCTGCAGATAACGAGGGATGAGTATACATGTCATATTTTCATTATGATTTTAGAAACAATGAAACCAAGTGAAAGATTAGATTCCTGCCCATTTTGATAATAGTCAGTGACATGGTTCTCTTTCCTTTCTGACCAACTACGATGGTCAGTCAGGGGTTTCTGTGTAAGCGGGCAGTAGATGCTAAGATTCTCTAAGCACTCTTGTGTTTTCGTTGAATCAAACTGAAGTCCCTCAGATACAGAAGTGGTTGAGAGCCCAGTTGATTTTTCTATGTGTTCTTTGTAGTGACTTTAAGCGTTGATGGATTAACTGGAATATGTCTTTCATTAAGTGGAAGAATTCTTTTTTTTTTTTTTTTTTGAGATAGAGCCTCACTCTGTCACTCTGGCTAGTGCAGTGGTGTCATCGTAGCTCACTGCAACATCAAACTCCGGGGCTCAAGTGATCCCCCTGCCTCAGCCTCTCAAGTAGTTGGGACTACAGGAGCAGACCACCACAGTTGGCTAATTTTTCTGTTTTTAGTAGAGATGGGGTCTTACTGTTGCTCAGGCTAGTCTACAGCTCTAGTTCTTGAACTCCTGAGCTCAAGCAATCCTCCTGCCTCAGCCTCCCAGAGTGCTAGGATTGCAGGTCTGAGCCACCATGCCCTGCCTAAGTGGAAGAATTCTTAAAGTAAAAAAAAACACAAAACAACCTTTTTTGTTTGGAGGTAATTGTGAATTCATGTGCATTCGTAAGAAATAGTACAAAGATTCCTTATACTTTTCACCCAGTTTCCCCTAGTGGTAGCCACTTGCAAAACTGTAACACAATTAGCACAACTAGCATATTGACTTTGATACAGTCTGCCTACTCTATTCAGATTTCTCTAGTTTTGTATACCCTCAGTTGTGTATCTGTTTCTTTGCAGTTTGACCACATGTGTGAATTTGTGTGAGACCACCACTGCAGGCAGGGTACATGGACAAAAGGCCTTTCTAATATCCACACCCATCTCTTTCTCCTTCTCCCACCTTAACCTCTAGCAGTCATTAATCTGTTCTCTTAGTCTATTTAAGTTTTTTTTTTTTTTTTTTTTTAGACAGAGTCTCGCTTGTTGCCCAGGCTAGAGTGAGTGCCGTGGCGTCAGCCTAGCTCACAGCAACCTCAAACTCCTGGGCTCAAGCGATCCTTCTGCCTCAGCCTCCCGAGTAGCTGGAACTACAGGCATGCGCCACCATGCCCGGCTAATTTTACATATATATATTAGCTGGCCAATTAATTTGTTTCTATTTATAGTAGAGACGGGGTCTTGCTCTTGCTCAGGCTGGTTTCGAACTCCTGACCTCGAGCAATCCACCCGCCTCGGCCTCCCAGAGTGCTAGGATTACAGGCTTGAGCCACCACGCCCGGCCTATTTAAGTTTTTTTTATTTTGGTCAACTGATCTGGGACTTTACTATTTAAGTTTTTGAGATTGGCTTTTTTCTTTCTCAGTGTAATTCCCTTTAGATTTTTCTAAGTAGTTGCATGTATCATTATTCCTGAGTAGTATCCCATGGCATGGATGTACCACACTTTGTCTCAGTTATTTCCAGTTTGGGTGTATTGTTACCGAGAAATCTGTTACCGAAAGCTTGGCACTTGTCCTCAAGGCTGTGTCAGAAGAATGAAGGAAAACCAGTGGTTTGAAGGAGAAGGAAAGAGAAGTGTTATTACTTTGCTGGCAAAAGAGGTAAAATGGTAGACCTTCTGTCTCAAAATCCAAATTTCCTGAGCATAAGCAGAAACAGCTTTTAAAGGAAGGGCCCCTCAGTTCTCGGCTTTTGTGGTTAACTATTCTAATCTTCTCATCTCTGCGGAGAACTCTGCCAGGAGAACTCTGCCAGCCGCTCACCTGGGGGGCTGTATGGGAGGCTGGCAGCTGCCTGTGATGGCTGAGTTATCTCTTTTAACAAAGGACTTAACCTGCCTCAGGGATGTAGGCCAGGCTGCAGGTCTCAAAGAATGGGGGAAATTTTAAAGAGATAGAAATCTTTTGTTTTTTTTTTCAGCCATTCCCTTTGTTACATATTCCCCACTCTCAATTTTATGCTTCCATATCTGTGGGAGGAGGGGGGACTACTCTGTTACAATATGACAAATAAAGCTACTATGAATATTCATGTATAGGCTTTCTTAAAAAAAGTCAGTAATTTTACTCTGTAATGTACAGGTTTTTGAATGAATATAAGTTTCATTTCTCTGGGATTCATCTGGAAGAGTGCAGTTGCTGCATCTTCTGATTAGGTTTAAACACAAATGTAAGGAACACTAATGTAAGAAATTGCCATACTTTTTTTCTAGAATTGAAGTACCATTTTATATTTTCACCAGCCATGTATGAGTTTTAGCATTTAGTCTTGTCACCTTTTTACTTTAGCCATTCTGATAGGTGTGTATTGATATCTCCTAAATTTTTATAGATTTCTTTTCCTCATTTCTCAACTTATTGGATAGTGGTGTATTTTACCTTTCTTGTGGAACTAGCTTGGGTAGTTGACTGATGTGGATGGGGGAGGGTCCAAACCATTTCTATTTTTTTCTTGAACATCTGTAAAATAGAGAGCCACTTATTGAAGGCTAGCACTTCTTAGACCATACAGACTTAGGGCTGTGGAGCTGTTTCTCCAGGGACAAGATTCTGACTGCCTGAGGGGAGCCCACTTTCATACTTACCCTGGAGCAGCTTTCTCCAGGGGCACATGTCTGGGGTGGTCTTTGCACCTCCTCTGAATAGACTTAGCACATGTGCTTTCTGGTTTAAGGTTTATAGGTCCTGTTATACTTCTTTATCTTGCACTGTTTATATTTCTCATTCAGAAACAAAGATTCCTGTCTCTTAAGCACCCAGGGCCCTCCTCATAGGCAGACTGTAACTACAGTTTTTTGTGTTTCTCTTGGAGCTCCCCATGCATTATTTAAGCATTCACAACTAAGTGTACCCAGCTGCCCCTGGGGGTCCCCTTGGTCTTACTTCTAAAATTGAGATGTTGTATCTTGGAGAGATCATCCATAGCATTACCTGTTTTTAATAGCATTTCTCCTGAGTATGAAAGCAAATTATACTAAATTTGGGGAATATAGTCTATAATAGAAATACTATACTGTGTGTATGTATGTATGTGTGTATGTGTATGTGTTATATAGTATAAGGTAGAAAATAAAATTACTTACTGTGCCATTATTGAGTTTATATTATATATGCATTTTTGTATTCTAGTTTTTTTCTCTCTTTTTTTTATAGGATTTTTATGATATACTATTTGTATAGCTTTTTATCACATACAGAATGAAACTGTGACTTGTTAAATTAACATATATAAGTGGTAAATAGCTTAAAAAATGTGAGGATGATAAGCACTGTACTTGGGGGCGTCATTCCACAGGGTGGGTAAGGAAGGGGACAAGTGGAGGACCACTGGCCCTTCATGCTGCCCAGCACACAGGTCTGGCATGTGAATGACCCAAATGAATGCAGTCCAACTCGGGGGCAGAGTCCAAGTGTCCATTGTGTCATTCTCTGTGCACTTTTTTTTTGAGACAGAGTCTCTCTCTGTTGCCCTGGCTAGAGTGCTGTGGCATCAGCCTGGCTCACAGCAACCTTGAACTCCTGGGCTCAAGCGATCCTCCTGCCTCAGCCTCCCGAGGAGTAGCTGGGACTACAGGCATGTGCCACCATGCTCGGCTAATTTTTTCTATTTTTGGTAGAGATGGGGTCTCTCTCTTGCTCAGGCTGGTCTTGAATTCGTGAGCTCAAATGATCCGCCCACCTCGGCCTCCCAGAGTGCTTGGATTACAGGCGTGAGCCACCGTGCCCGGCCCAGATAAATGTTTTTTAAAAAGTGAAACTAAAAATCACTTGTGCTCCTGCCATCTAAAGAAAACCATTGGTCACATTTTGGTATAAATCCTCCCATATTATTTATTTTATTTTAGTATTTGCATATTTTTCTGGCTGACCAGTTATCAACACCCCCATGTGTGTTGTCCACAGTTCCCGGCCCACCGGTAAAGGGGTGGAAGGACTTGCTAGAGTTGGATCCCGAGCAGCTCTCTCTTTTGCCTTTGCGTTCTTACGCAGGGCCTGGCGGTCAGGTAAGTGTACTCAGCATGTTGTTATGTTTCCCTAACACATCAGGAGTATTTGGGTTCTGTGCTCCGTCTGCCACCATATGTATGCCCTTGGGCTGATCCCATGTGTTCCTCCGTGTCTCACTTTCCTTGTTTGTTAAGTGAGAAGCTGCAGAGTCTATTTGACTTTTCAGGTCTGTGCTGACAAAAAAGAAAAAAGAGTACATGACCTATTCTCCCTACCCCACTTCCAGGCAAATTACTACCATTTGTGGAAGAACAAGAAGTATTTGTTCATGTGAGAGCCACAAAATATAGAATTGAGTTTGAGACAGCCATGTTAGATTTTGATCTGTTGAATGAGGGATTGAAAAGGTGAAAGTGGCATCTTCTCACGCTGAGGGGTGGGATGCCCAGTGGGAGAGTGAGGGGCAGTGGGTGGCCTCCTCTGACGTGTGTGTGTACGCACGCAGGTGAGGACGCCGACCTCTGCAGCGAGCTGTTGCAGGAGTCCCTGGATGCCCTGCGAGCTCTTCCTGAGGCCTCGCTCTTTGACGAGAGCACCGTGTCCTCCGTGTGGCTGGAGGTGGTGGAGAGGGCAACCAGGTTCCTCAGGTCCGTCGTGACTGGGTGAGTTCTTTCCTTTCATGCCTTCCTGTGTGAAGGGTTCCAGTGTGCTTCAGTCTCACCCTTTCATTCCTCTTTAGAGCTGAGAAAGTAAGTTGTTCCTCACCTGTATTTCCAGCATACCCTCAGCTCTGTGATTCTAGATCTTCATTCTTAGCTTTTCACATGGTTTGATTTATAACACTCTCATTTGACTCAGGAAGCTGTCAGGCTGAATGAAATGGAAAATAAAAGATGCTTTTGTGATTTGTCTATTTTTTAGCTATCTTATGACTTGGTGATTAATCACTCATAAAGTGAGCACTTGTGTGCCTCTGTGTGATAGTTAGGAGCCACTGCTCTGTGTGATGAGATGGCACTCTGTTTGAAGTCTTGATAGGTAACATGGGAGCAAACTACTCAAGATCAAAATGTTTAAACCTATAGGTAGTCTTTTTACTATAAAAATTTGAATGTGAATCATTTATCTATAAAGAAAAACAAGAACTCTGGTAATGAGTGCTGTGTGTTTTGATTTTGGTTTCTATGTTTAAAGAAAATGTATATATTCTATAAAATTCAACAGCAGTGACAGGTGCAGAGGAAGAGTGAGTCGCTTTCTCACTCTCCTTGCCGGAGGTCACCACTGTGCTTTCTTCCTGCCATCAAGGTCGTATGTGGTGTCCCTGCCTCCTAGCTGTCAGTCTGTTTCATAGGAGTGAAGGCTGGTGGAGGCTTCACCACAGTAATTTAAGGTTGAGGCCCCTGAAAGTAGGCTTGGACTTAATTTAAAAAGTTCACCTGTAATGTTGATGTCATAAGATCTTCCCTCCCCAACCCTGGGTTAAGAAAATTCGTTGTTTATTATTGAGTGACAAAGAAAAGTTAAAAATATTCTTTGATCAGAGATAAAAATAAGAATAGACATTTTGCCTGTAGAGTCTCATGTGGTTTTGTTTTTTGAGACAGAGTCTCGCTTTGTTGTCCAGGCTAGAGTGAGTGCCGTGGCATCAGCCTAGCTCACAGCAACCTCAAACTCCTGGGCTCAAGCGATCCTCCTGCCTCAGCCTCCTGAGTAGCTGGGACTACAGGCATGCACCACCATGCCCGGCTAATTTTTTATATATATATCAGTTGGCCAATTAATTTCTTTCTATTTATAGTAGAGACGGGGTCTCGCTCTTGCTCAGGCTGGTTTTGAACTCCTGACCTTGAGCAATCCGCCTGCCTCGGCCTCCCAAGAGCTAGGATTACAGGCGTGAGCCACAGCGCCCGGCCTCATGTGGTTTTATAAATTGATTCTTCTGCAATTCTATAGTGGGATGGTGATACTCTTATAATTATTATTGTTGTTGTTTTTTAAGAGATGTCTCACTCTGTCACCCAGGCTGGAGTGCAGTGGCACTATCATAGCTCATTGTAACCTCGAGCCTCTGGGCTTAGCGATGATCCTGCCTCAGCCTCTCCAGTAGCTGGGATTATAGGCATGGGCCACCACACCTGGTTATTTTTTTTCTCATTTTTTTGGAGACAAGATCTTGCCATGTGGCCCAGGCTGGTCTCAAGCTCCTGGGCTCAGGTGATCCTTTGGCCTCAGCCTCCCAAGTAGCTGGGATTATACCATGCCCATTAATAGTATTATAGTCTTATACTTCATTGAAAATGGAAAAATATCTAAATATTCTTCTACTTATGTTTTAAATAATGATATAAGTTATTTTATGCTTCAGACACTTGGAGTATGTCCTAATGTAATACAGTGTCTGAATTAACACTTGTAATAAAATATATCTTTACAAGTTAATTGTATACTTTAAAAATCTCTGAATAAATTTGAGTAGCAAATCTCAGAAACTTGATTCTAAAATTTAAAAAATATACCTTTCTATGGAGGAGAGAATATAATTGGCATGTTAGTCTGATTGTAAGCATGCTGTCTTTCTCTGACATTGCTTTGTTCCTGTATCCACTGTTTTTATTTCAGGGATGTTCACGGAACGCCGGGTACCAAAGGGCCGGGAAGCATCCCCCTGCAGGACCAACACTTGGCCCTGGCCATCTTGTTAGAACTGGCTGTGCAGAGGGGCACACTGAGGTGAGGGGTGCCGTAGGCTGGGGATGCTTCTGGGATGCATCTCTGTATCCAAATGTTTGTTGCATTTTGTGGCATTTCACTGAATTGTGACTGCAGCACAATTTTGTGACTGCAGCAAGGGTATGTGGTGTTCTGTAATCAGAGAAGCATGTCCCAGGGCCCTCTGTTTTTTACGTTCTTTTCACTTCCTTTTTATGCTCAGTTTTCTAGTTGTCTATAAACTGTTCTCTTTTTTTCTTCTAGTTTCCCTTGAAAAATTATTTGTATTCCATTAATTTAAGGTCCTAGAAATTTCCTATAGCAATTGCTATATGAACATCTTAACTGGGCTTATATTTTCTATCAGCAGAGACCACATGTCCTATGCTAAAATCTTGGCATCAATTCAGAGATTTTTATTGCCAAGAATTGTTTCCATGTCATTATTTTAGTTTCCTTTCATATCCAAAGTATTTCTTCACTTTTATTTAGCTGTTTGCTTTTATTTTTGGTGGACCATGGGGAAAAAATGAATCTGTTTTTACTAACAATACATATCTTTTCTCCTTCAGCCAAATGTTGTCTTCCATCCTGCTGCTGCTCCAGCTGTGGGACAGTGGGGCACAGGAGACTGACAATGAGCGGTCTGCCCAGGGCACCAGTGCCCCACTTTTACCTTTGCTGCAAAGGTTCCAGAGCATCATCTGTAGTAAAGACACACCTCATGCAGAGGGGGACACGCATGTAAGTATCACAATGGAATTTTGTGTGTAGGTGGCACTCTTTAGTTGTTTCAAAGAATAGGACCAGAGTGCATGTCCATGGCATGGCTGTGGTTGTCTCTGGGATGAGTGGTGACATCAGCAGTGAGTCAGAGAAGCCAAGTATGGGAGGCCGTGGTGTGAGTTATGTTGATGGGGTGGGACATCACGTGAACCTATTAGGATTCTTTGATGTGTCAGTGAGTGGCCAGAGCCAGCTCTGATGTGTAGGACCTGGGCTCTGTGTTTTGTTTGGATTGTGCATATTTAGTAGGAGAAATTTATTTCTTGACATGATCAGTGTGTTTTTAGAGAGACCTGTCTACTGCCATGTTCATAGTGCAGCTTTCCTTCTACTGAACCAGAGCCTCTGCGCCCTTGGTATACATGGCTAGTGCTCACGTGTTCCAGCTGGTGCCCATGTTGTGCTTTGGCTGTGAAGGGAAATGAGTTTTAGATGCCGTGGAAAATGTAAAGAGGGCATGTTCACTTCCGTGAAGGATGGAGTTAGTAGAGGAATGAAGAGGGGTAAACATCCTGCTGCTGTTTCAAGTGCAAAGTAGAAGTTGTTCACTCTGAGCACTTGACAGTGACAGCCTTGGAGGTAGTACTGAGGGCCTAGGCTCAGGGCGGTATGGGAAGGAGCCAGTTCAAGCAGGGAGTCTCACTTCGTACACATTGGAATAATCCACACTTGGAGTCATCTCATTGTCCCTTTTAGCTTCTCCCTGGGAGAGCCAGGTTGGTCTCTGTGACTTGTCTCCTCTGACCTGCTATCTATGGAGCAGTGAGCCTAGGCTTTCTTGTCAGCACAGAACCAATCCTGGAACACATGCTTTTAAATACATATCATAAAAAAACAAGGAAAACTTTGTTGTCCTTCCTGCCAAGCACTGTGGAGGCACGTCCCGAGTTGTCACTATGCTTAGTACCAATCAGGCCCTTTACAGGCAAGGATGCCCAGCTGGGGGAGGAGCAGGGTGTTTGGGCCTGGGCTTGAACCTCCAGGACTGCTGCTCTATACAAGTACAGGGTGGATTTTGCTGATCTTTTCTGGAAAGACATAAGCATTCCATTATCATGCTGCAACCTAATTTATCTATTATTTGGCAGTCTTTACTAATGATAATAAGGCTCTTCTGCCTTTAGAAGAATTAGAACTATGACTTAATTTGCAAATGAAATTAAGTTTTCTCCAGAGTGGATAACATTTAGATGAAAATAAGGGTTTTTTTTTAGTTTTCAAGGCCAAGTTAAGGTGCTGTGCTGTGTTCCCTTGGAGCTTGTTCTGTGTTCTTCCAGGGGTCCTGGGGGCACCACCTTGTGGGTAGTTTGGCTGTATTAGTGATCCATGTGAAGTCTGCATACAGGATTCTACTCGCATGTGATGTAATAGATGTACAGCAAATCAGATAATGCGTAACTGAAAATATCCAAATATATAAAGAGTGGTTAAAAGCTAATTTAACCTTTACTGTTACTTTAGAAAAACTGTTACTTTAGTTTTTCCCACCATTTCTGAATGTTTGTTTACTTTTCTTGTCTAGCTTTTGTCTGGCCCACTGAGCCCCAATGAGAGTTTCCTGCGGTACCTTACTCTTCCACAAGACAATGAGCTCGCCATTGATTTGCGGCAAACAGCTGTTGTTGTCATGGCCCATTTAGACCGCCTGGCTACACCCTGTATGCCTCCTCTGTGTAGCTCTCCGACGTCGCATAAGGTATGTGGGAGAACAGTGTTCTTCACATGTTCTGTAGTTAGTACCATGCCTAGATTCTCATTCTCTGCATGTGTGGAGACTTACTGGTGGTGATGGTGTTATCTGGCTTAAAGTTTTTAAACATGTTTGCAGTTTAAGGCGTTGCCAGGGGTAAGTAAGCTGAGGTGCACAGGGCCCAAGGACCCAATCTAGGTTCCAGATTCAGGAGACACAGCCCCAGAGAGCTCACCCTTACCACACAGCCACAGGCCATCTCACCTGCAGGGAGGTTTGGAGCTTCTTTTGTACTCTGAACATGGACTGTCTTAGTATGTAATGCTGGTTATGGTACTGACACTATATTTATATATTTTATATGTATTATATAATAGTGATGGTAATAGGAGTGGTCTACGTGGGTGGAGAGCCTTTGGAGTGTAGGCCCACTGAGGACCTCACACATGCTGTGGTGTCTGATCATTGTGTCAATGAGAAAACTGCCGTTTGAGATGGTAGTGGACTATGCTGTGATCATATGGTGTAATCCTGGTTTTTAATTCAGGTTTCTCTAACTTTTTTTTTTTTTGGAACAAGTCTCACTTTATTGCCCAGGCTAGAGTGAGTGCCGTGGCGTCAGTCTAGCTCACAGCAACCTCAAACTCCTGGCTCAAGCAATCCTCCTGCCTCAGCCTCCCAGATGCTGGGACTACAGGCATTCGCCACCATGCCTGGCTAATTTTTTGTATATATATATTAGTTGGCCAATTAATTTCTTTCTATTTTATAGTAGAGACGGGGTCTCGCTCTTGCTCAGGCTAGTTTTGAACTCCTGACCTCGAGCAATCCGTCCGCCTCGGCCTCCCAGAGAGCTAGGATTACAGGCGTGAGCCACCGCGCCCGCCAGGTTTCTCTAACTTTTAATTAATTAATTAATTTATTCTCTTCATTCCCCTCTAACTTTTATTTTTCTTTTTTTGAGACAGGATCTTATTCCATCACCCAGGCTGGAGTGCAGTGGTGTGGTTGTAGCTCACTGCATTGCAGCCTTAAACTTCTGGGCTTAGGTGAATCTCCCATCTCAGCTTCCCCAGTAGCTGGGACTACAGGCATGTGCCACCATGCTCAGCAAATGTTTTTATTTTTTGTAGAGCTAGGGTCTCACTATTGTCCAGGCAAGTCTGGAACTCCTGGCCTCAAGCAGTCCTCCCAGGCCGGGCGCGGTGGCTCACGCCTGTAATCCTAGCACTTCGGGAGGCTGAGGCGGGCGGATTGCTCAAGGTCAGGAGTTCGAAACCAGCCTGAGCAAGAGCGAGACCCCGTCTCTACTATAAATAGAAAGAAATTAATTGGCCAACTAATATATATAGAAAAAATTGGCCGGGCATGGTGGCGCATGCCTGTAGTCCCAGCTACTCGGGAGGCTGAGGCAGTAGGATTGCTTGAGCCCAGGAGTTTGAGGTTGCTGTGAGCTAGGCTGACGCCACGGCACTCACTCTAGCTTGGGCAACAAAGCGAGACTCTGTCTCAAAAAAAAAAAGCAGTCCTCCCACCTTGGTCTCCCAAAGTGCTGTGACTATAGGCATGAGCCACCTTGCCTGGCCTAACTTTTAATTTTTAATATAAAGAGTATTTATTTTGTTTAATAGTAATTTTTTTTTCAAATAAGTAATATGGTCCCGTGTTTCAAAAGTCAGAATTATAGGCAGAGACATACTGTCACTTCTTTCCCAAGTTTCCCTAACTGCTTGTTCTCACTTTCTAGTCTTTTCTATAACCTGTTGTTATTATCTGGAATGAATATATTAGCAGTGACATGTTGCATTACTTCTGTGGCTTGTTTTGCTCATTAAATAGAAATACCAGAGAGCTTTCTGTATCAATAAACAGAGCTTTTTAATTTTTTTATAGTAGCTTGTATCTCTTTTTAATGTGTCTCTCATAGGTGGCCACTTGGGTTATTGTCAAAATTTTGCTGCACATACAGTGCTGTGGTGACTGATGTTGTACGTGTGTTCCTCTGTGTATGCAAATGTGTGTGTCTGTGCACGTACCCCCTGTGTGGGCTGGTTTTCTTCAGGTAGCTGTCTCCCTCTCACCCCACCTATGAGGGAGCTTGTCTCCCACCTTTGCAGTTGGGCTTTTGGGTTTATGCCTGTTGTGGCACACAATGATAACCTGATACAGTTTGAGCATTTTAAAATATATTTAAGGGCCATTTGTACTACTTTTTATTGGGCTGTGTTAAAATGGAGTGTTATAGAAAGATATGTTCAGTCACCTCATCTTACCTATTAACTGAGTTAGTATGGAATTTTTTTTTTTTTTTTTTTGAGACAGAGTCTCGCTCTGTTGCCCAGGCTAAAGTACTGTGGCGTCAGCCTAGCTTACGGCAACCTAAAACTCCTAGGCTCAAGTGATCTTCTTGCCTCAGCCTCCCAAGTAGCTGGAACTACAGGCATGCGCCACCATACCCAGCTAATTTTTTTTTCTATTTTTAGTTGCCTGGCTAATTTCTTTCTACTTTTAGTAGAGACGGGGACTTGCTTTTGTTGAGGCTGGTCTCGAACAACTGACCTCAAGTGATCTTCCCATCTTGGCCTCCCAAAGTGTTAGGATTATAGGCATGAACCACCACGACCAGCCAATATGGAATGTTATGAGTTGTTTTGATGTTTTGAATCAGCTCCTTTCTTTCTTTTACTTGCATTGTTTTTAGCTTATGGTGTCTTAGTGTTAATCCTGGATGTTTTCTTGCTGCTGTAAAGAAAATGTTTACTTTTTTATTTTACAGGGATCATTGCAAGAGGTCATAGGTTGGGGGTTAATAGGATGGAAATACTATGCCAATGTGATTGGTCCAATCCAGTGTGAAGGTCTTGCCAACCTAGGAGTCACGCAGATCGCCTGTGCAGAGAAGCGCTTTCTGATCCTGTCACGCAATGGCCGTGTGTACACGCAGGCCTACAACAGTGATACACTGGTGGGTGTTTTGGGTGCTTTGCCTGCATGGTTCTCTTATTGGGCAGGGACTCTACTAGAGCTATTGGTTATTTGATATCTGAGGATTGATGAGCATCTGTTCATTGTATGTTATTAGTCATGTTTAATAATCTTAGTTGTTTTTGTTATTGTCAAGAGTTTGGGTTGCTAAGATCAAGAACTCTTTACAGTGAAACTCATTGCCAATCATGATTCCCATTGTAGAGCAACTTTCCACATATAAACTCATTTGACTTTGGGCCCAGGGAGGTAACAAATGAGGGAGTTGGGCCTCGGGATGGTGGTACATTGGGACGTGCATGTTTCTTTTACAAGAAGGGGCCCTGCCTGTTGGCTTCATGTCTCCCGTTGCGTAGTGCGGCCTGCACAGCCCCAGTCGGCACCGGTCATGCTGCGGAGTATTTGGAGCTGCCCACCATTTTGTTGGTGCTGGGTGGGGAGGGCTGGAGAACCTATCTGTGGTCTCCAGAGGCTCATGCCCTTTTCTTAAGCAGGGTTTGTTCAAGGAGGATACATGGTTGAGGAGAGTTGTGCTGTTTTCATTATCCTTGGACTGATGACTAATTTTCTTCCTATTTTTACCCTTTTAGGCCCCTCAGTTGGTCCAGGGTCTTGCCTCCAGAAACATTGTAAAAATTGCTGCTCATTCTGACGGTCACCACTACCTGGCTTTGGCGGCCACTGGAGAGGTGTACTCCTGGGGCTGTGGGGACGGCGGACGGCTGGGCCACGGGGACACTGTGTATGTGCTGCATGTTCCTGTAACTGACATGCTGTCCTTTTCGTTGCCATGTCCCAAACAGGATGGAGCATAGAAGTGTGTCTGGGTGTTTTCCAGCTGCCCTGACATGGAGGGCCAGGATGGGGAGAGATACCATAGTGTGCCAACTCCTTGGCACCTGCTTAGGAGCTCTGCCCATGAGTGGAGAGTGACGGGAATGGGCCTTCCTGCTCTTCTCCCCCAGCTGCAGCTGCAGCCAGCTTTTTGCTCCTCCTATTTTATCTATTCAGCCCCCCACCCCAGCTGTGCAGTTTTCCAAAGCACATCCCACACTGTTGTCCCTTCATTCACGCACACTTTGTTCTTTCTAACAGATTAGGTCCCCCTTTCCTTGAGCCATAATATTATTTTCACAGGTACAAAAATCAACAGTTTCTTAATATTACCATATTTGGTGGAATCTTTTGATTACTGTGAGAGAACAGAAATAAAACAGAAAATGTTGTTATAAATGCCAGGTTGTAAAAATTGAGAGGTCCGATAGTTTCCTTGGAGTGATGGGAACCTTCTTATACTTTGCTGTTGTGAGTGGAACCTGGTGGGAGAAACGTTATTATTGGGTTGAAACTAAAGATACACATACATGCCAACCCAGCAAGCCCACTTCATGCAGGTTGGAGCCTTGAGCAGGGGGTAGGCAGCAGCAGGGGTTGGAATAACCCCAGTCAGCTTTACGAGGTTTACTTAGAATCAAATGAATTGGTTTAAAGTGTATACTTGGGTGAGTTTTGGCAAATGCCCACAGTTGGGTAGCCCCCATGATGAGGACATGCTGCATTTCCATTGCTTCCAGTGCTCTTTTTCAGTCAGTCCCTGCCTCCCACCTCCAGCTTCTGGCAACCTCTGATCTGCTCTCTGTCATGATTGTTTTGTGTTTTCCAGAATTTAGTATAAACAAAGTCATACAGCATATAGTATTTTGTTTCTGGCTGCTTTCACATGGTGTTGTGAGATCCAGTTGTGTTGTTGGGCATATCAGCAGTTTATTCCTTTCTATAGCAGATGGACCACAATTTTGGGCCATTGTGAATAAAGCTGTTGTGGGTTTTATTGAACAAGTCTTTAACAAATACTGGTTTGATACCCCTGCTGGGTACCATGTTTGGTGTTGGATTCCACCTTAGCAAAAAGCCATGGGACTATTGGGTGTTTGAATCCCCTTTTCCATAGTTATTTCATAAGGTAACTGAAGGATGAAAATGTCCTGATGCCTTGATGATCTGTTCTTGACAGTGAATTTCCTTTGCTGACGCTAATAAGAAATGCTTAGAAGGGCATTCACGTTTGTTTCCTTCCTCCCCACAGGCCCCTGGAAGAGCCTAAGGTGATCTCTGCTTTCTCTGGAAAGCAGGCTGGGAAGCACGTGGTGCACATTGCATGTGGGAGCACGTACAGCGCAGCCATCACTGCTGAGGGGGAGCTGTACACCTGGGGCCGCGGAAACTACGGCCGGCTGGGCCACGGTACGTGTGCTCTTTGAGAGCATAAGCATGCACTAGGTTGCCTCTTCTGAGAGGACTTGAGTAATGAAAGTTTCATCTGTTTGAAGGCTCCAGTGAAGATGAGGCTATTCCAATGTTGGTAGCTGGGCTTAAAGGACTGAAGGTCATCGACGTTGCGTGTGGCAGTGGGGATGCGCAAACCCTTGCTGTGACTGAGAATGGTAAGTAGAGCTCTTGCTGCACTGGGCAGGCCCTTGAGCACGTGGATGGCAGCTTCCCTGGTTCACTCTGGGGTGAACCTCAGGGGCCACCTGCCCTGTCATTCACTTCTAAGTGGATGTGGGTCTCAGTGGCCTCAATGAAGAGGCCTAGGAACTTACTGGGCTTGGGGTTGCCCAGAGCCATACAGCTGGTTAGCAGCTACCACCCTTCCTATGAGGGCATTTTATTTTTTAATTAAAAATGAGAGTTAAAATGAAATAATTGACATTCTGAGTTGTTTCTGATTATTATTATTGCATTTCTTAATGTTCAGACTCTTGATTCCCTGGATAAATCCTACTTAGTCTTTGTGTATTCACCAGTCAGATGCTACATTGTTTGCTTCTTATTGATTGATGGATTGAGGCAGGGTCTTGCTCTCTTGTGCAGTCCATATAGCTCACTGTAACCTCAAACTCATAGGATCAAGTGATCCTTATGCTTGAGCCTCCCAAGTAGCTGGGATTACAGGCACACATCACCACGCCTTGCTAATTTTTAAAATTTTTTCTAGAGATGGTGTCTTACTATGTTGCCCAGGCTGATCTTGAAATTCTGGGCTGGAGTGATCCTCCTGCCTCAGCCTCTCAAAGTGCTAGGATTATAGGCATGAGCCATCCTGTCCTGCCAAGTTTGCATGTTTTTAATTTTAGTTTTGTGTTTGTGTTCATTAGTGAGATTGTACTCATTTTCTTTTCTTTTTTTTTTTTTTTTTTTTTTGAGGGTATGTTTTATCAGGTTTGATGGTTAAAATCATATTGATTTTTTTTAAAAAAACTGCTTATTTGTTAATCTTACAGTGCTCTGTCCTTGGTATCTGCTCTGTTGTTGACGTTGTGGGATCTGGCAGAATCAGCTGGGGAACCTCTCTGCCGCTTTTTTCCCATAGAGGTTGAATGGCAGATTGCGAATGGACTTACTTATGGGAGTTTCTTTGGTGAAAGATCAAAAATCATTTCAGACATGTTCATATAAATATATTATAGTTCTCTCTGCCACCGACAGGGTAGATGTTGTCAGAGCCATCTTGCTTCTTAACAGAAGCAAGATTCCTGTGTGTCCTTGAGCAAAGATGGTCTGTCTGTGATCTATAAGGTCCCTTCTGCCATGAAGATTTCAATTTGACAACATCTCATTTTAAAATATCTATTATTAAGTGAGTGATAGACTTTACAAAACTTTTTTTTTTTTTTTTTGAGACAGAGTCTCACTTTGTTGCCCAGGCTAGAGTGAGTGCCGTGGTGTCAGCCTGGCTCACAGCAACCTCAAACTCCTGGGCTCAAGTGATCCTCCTGCCTCAGCCTCCCGAGTAGCTGGGACTACAGGCATGCGCCACCATGCCCGGCTAATTTTTTATATATATATCAGTTGGCCAATTAATTTCTTTCTATTTATAGTAGAGACGGGGTCTCGCTCTTGCTCAGGTTGGTTTCGAACTCCTGAGCTCAAACGATCCGCCCGCCTCAGCCTCCCAGAGAGCTAGGATTACAGCGTGAGCCACCACGCCCGGCTAAACTTTACAAAACTTTTAATCAGGAAGTATTTTCTGGTTAAAAGAATGCAGTAGGATATTATCGTTGCATTCTTTGTGTGAAGTTGCTATGTTAGTAAAACTTTGTGGTGATATGTCAACTATATTTCCTTTTATGGGGCTGTGGACATTGTCTACCTCACACTGGTGTTTCTTTGGTGTAAATCGTATAGGAAAATATCCCTGCTGTACTATTATTTTCTGAGATGACTGGTGTGGTGGAAACATCTTCCGTTGTGCAGTCTGGCCTGGGGTGATTGGTTCACTGAAAACATTGATGACTAAAGTGGGGAATTACCAGGTGGGCTATGTGAACAACAGAATTTTAACCAAAGCATAGAAATGTACACACACTCTCTGATCTTTGTGTACGGGTCTGCTGTGTTTCCTTTATTGGCCACCTAATAGTGTGTCATCTACAGTTTTCAGTTTAGATCAGGGGTTGGTCTGTTTTTCCAATAGAGTTGTATTGGGATACAGCCCTCCCAGCGTATGTATTGTCTGTGGCTGCTTTTGTGGGTCAGTGGCACAGTTGACTACTTGTAACAGAGGCTGTATTGTCATTAGAGGCTAAAAATACTTACCATCTGATCTTTGAAGAAAAAGTTTGCCACTCTTTGGTATAGATTATTTAAAATAGAATAGTAACATGGTCACTTATGGAGTAATCTGATTTCTTCCTTCTGATTTTTTCTTATCATTTACAGTTTTCCCTTATACCTAACATAACAATTTTTTTTTTTTTTTTTTTGAGACAGAGTCTCGCTTTGTTGCCCAGGCTAGAGTGAGTGCCGTGGTGTCAGCCTGGCTCACAGCAACCTCAAACTCCTGGGCTCAAGTGATCCTCCTGCCTCAGCCTCCCGAGTAGCTGGGACTACAGGCATGCGCCACCATGCCCGGCTAATTTTTTCTATTATATCAGTTGGCCAATTAATTTCTTTCTATTTATAGTAGAGACGGGGTCTCGCTCTTGCTCAGGCTGGTTTCGAACTCCTGACCTTGAGCAATCCGCCCGCCTCGGCCTCCCAAGAGCTAGGATTACAGGCGTGAGCCACAGCGCCCGGCCTAACAATTTTGTTTTTTAGCAATTCACTTTTATTGAGTTTTTGCAAAGTATTCAGCTTAGTTTTTAGTGTTAAAAATTATTTAACTTTGCAGTTACATTTTGTCCCTTTACGTACTATTTAACCAAATTACATAATTGCTCTGACAGTTGGGAAAAAATACAGTGGTACAGTTGACCAGTGGTCAGCATGGTTGGAACAGAAGCATGCAGCCACACTGGCGAGTGATTAGCGAGCTATAGTGTGTTGTGGGCCTCAGTTACGGTGCTTTATGGAGACAATGGGGCTTTTGTTCTGTGTTCAGCATTTAGTTGAAGTAGTATTATCGAACCCAACCTAGTAAGAGTCAGGGCTCTGTTTTTCATGTAATTAAAATGAAAAGAAAACCCATCATTCCCTTTCTTAATTGCTTCTATATCAACTCGAAGTGTAAACTGGATTTCATTTGGTTAGTAACCACCTGTGTAGTGTTAACTGTGTACATCGGTGGTCTAGATTTGTGTGCATTATTGGCTCTTACTATTTTCAGCCATTTAAAATGTTTTATTACAATGCACAGTTATTTTTACCTAGATGCATTTGTATTTTTTAGGACAAGTGTGGTCTTGGGGAGATGGTGACTATGGGAAATTGGGCAGAGGTGGTAGTGATGGCTGCAAAACACCAAAGCTGATTGAAAAGCTTCAAGACTTGGATGTTGTCAAAGTCCGCTGTGGAAGTCAGTTTTCGATTGCTTTGACGAAAGATGGCCAAGTTTATTCATGGGGAAAAGGTGACAACCAGAGACTTGGGCACGGAACAGAGGAACACGTTCGTTATCCCAAACTCTTGGAAGGCTTGCAAGGTAAGTGCAGATATAAACTTTTAAAACCCTTTGGGGACAGTTTCTTAGTAATCTTTTAAAGTTTGCAGTAATCTTTTAAAGTTTTTTTCTTAACCTAACATTCCATGAATGGACCATCATTAGAAACTTTCACTAGCATCTTGGTAGGGGTAGATAATAATTGGAAAGTGGTTTGTCGGTATTAAAAAGTGGCCTAGATGTATTCTCACCAAATTTAATTTGAAACTCATTCTGTTTTACTAATATTGGAGAGCTCTTTCTATGGCAGGGACTCATTCATCACTCAGCAAGCTGGACTCGTTGAGGGTAACTTCTGTTTGGTGACAGAAGTTGTGTGTACTTGTATGGTAGATACTGCTGAGACCATGGGGTTGCCTGTGCAGTGGGCCACCCTGGGAGGTGGGATTGGGTCCATCTGGGGTGCTCTCTGTTGAAACTTTTCCTTGGTGGATGAATCCTGCTTGAATGGTTGGAAAAGTGTGCGGCATGCATAATTGCTGGAGGGAATGGATGGAAGCCAAGGCTTGTAGGTATAAGTGCAGGCACCTGTACCTCCAGTACAGGCAGAGAGGATGGGAGCATCTGGGAGAAGGCCCTAGAATGCTCTTAATGTACTCCTACTGGAGAGGTCATGCTATAGGAAGTAGGAGGGCCATCAAAACCATGAGAATTAGGCTGTAGGAGGGACTTTTTAAAGGGGAAAACTGGATTTTTCCACACTATTTGGCCTGGTAGTTGGTAGGTGGTTTCCATCCTAGTGGAGAGCTGGTGAATATAGGTGAGTTGACCAGAAGGCAGGGAAGAGAGGCCAGTGAGAGTGTACCAAATGGGGTCTGTAGTGTTTTCTCTGTTTCAGCGATGGGCCTGGCTGTGTTCCAGCACAAGTTTGTTCACAAATACAGGCTTTGTATTTGTGTGAAAGCCTGTTGGATCCTTGCACTATGGTGCATTCTTCTTTGTTTACGTTTTTGCTTCTATATCCAGGGGGTTTGGAAGTGGGACTTTTAAGTGGGACTTGCCAGTTACTTTCCACATCCATTTTATTTTAAAGCATGTTAATACCTGATGATTAGCAGTTTTGTGTGCTTATATGCTATTTATTATTATTATTATTTTGAGACAGAGTCTCACTTTGTTGCCCAGGCTAGAGTGAGTGCTGTGGCATCATCCTAGCTCACATCAACCTCAAACTCCTGGGCTCAAGCAATCCTACTGCCTCAGCCTCCCGAGTAGCTGGGACTATAGGCATGCGCCACCATGCCTGGCTAATTTTTTCTATATATATTAGTTGGCCAGTTAATTTCTTTCTATTTATAGTAGAGACAGAGTCTTGCTCTTGTTCAGGCTGGTTTCGAACTCCTGACCTCAAACAATCCTCCCACCTCGGCCTCCCAGAGTGCTAGGATTACAGGCGTGAGCCACTGTGCCCGGCCAGCTATTTATTATTTTTTAAGCTTCTGAGATAAGTTGTAGAGTAATATAGCTTACTATATCTCATGGAAGTATATTTGAATTTCATTTGCCTTCTTGTTTATATTTTCCTACATTAGTAAAGGAAATCAACTTTATTAGAAAGGAAATCAATTTATTAGAGATAGTAATAGCTTAGTATAGAAGTATTTAAATTATTATTGATAAAATTTTTTTGGTTGCTGTTGTTAACTTATGGTAGGCTCTTAAGGTATAATTGTTCCCGTACTGTAGTGTAGAGATTTTCAGCTGAATTATTTTATATGTTGACATTTGTGAGAAATATCCCTTGTGTTGGTCATGTTAGATTTGCTAACAAGGAAAAATATGACACTTTGCTAACACTATTTAAATAGGAAAAATGTGTTTTTTTTTAACATTTATATCATATAACTCTGAGAGAAAAATAGATTTCTTTTTAAAAAACTTTCCTCAGTGAAGAGTGTGCTTTGCATGGTTATACAGGGTCAGGAGAATATGATCTAATAGTTAATTAAAAATATACTTGTTTCTTTCTGAATGAAAATCTGAATAAGGAGGACAAAAAAATAATAGATCCTTTTTATACCCTAGCATTATTCTATTTGTAGGTTGTGGGTCTTCACAAATTGTAGTTGACAAAGCACAGGAGTTTTAATCACATGCTTGAAGCAAATGAATCGTGCTTAATATTAAAGCAACAAGTTATCCTTAAGAATGTCTCTGACCTGAATGGTCGGGTGCAAACATCTTTCTTGCAACAGAATTCATAGGCTTGAAGCTGCATCTGCATCCCTCTTCCCTTGTAGGGAAGAAGGTGATTGATGTGGCTGCGGGCTCCACCCACTGCCTGGCTCTGACTGAGGACAGCGAGGTCCATAGCTGGGGGAGCAATGACCAGTGTCAGCACTTTGACACCTTGCGTGTGACCAAGCCGGAACCTGCTGCACTGCCAGGACTGGACACCAAACACATAGTGGGAATTGCCTGTGGTCCTGCCCAGGTACTGAATATAGAGCTTGCTTTGGTATTTTGTAGAATTTTTGTTTCCACTTATTCATTAGTATATAGAAAAACCATGGATTTTTTTTGTGTGTGTGTTGCCCTTGTATCTTGCAGTTGTACAAAACTCACTTATTCTTTGAGCTTCATTGTAGTTTTTTTGGCATTCTCTTCATAGACAATTATACCGTGTATGTATAGGGACAATTGTATTTCTTCCTTTCTAATCTCTATTCCTTTTATGTCTTTTCTTTGCCTTATAGCCCTGGCCATTGTTGCCCATGTGATATTGATTGAACAGGAGGGGTGAGAGTGGGCACCCCTGCCTTGTCTCTGATGGTAGGGGGAAGGCAGTTCAGTCTTTCAACATCAACTATGGTAGCTGTGTGGTATTTAGTAAATGCCTTATTATCAGGTTAAGGCAGTTTCCTTTAATTCCTAATTTTTTGGAAGTTTTTTTTTTTTTTTTAATCCTAAATGAATGTTGACATTTGTCAAATGCTTTTTCTTTTCCAATGAAATGGTCATGTAGTTTTCCTTACTTAGTCTGTTAAATATGGTGGAATACATTAATTGATTTTTATATATGAACCATGTCTTGCATTACTGGGATAGACTTCACTTGGCCATGGTGCATTATTCTATTTATATATTGCTGAATTTGATTTGCAAATACTTTGTTGAGGATATTTCTGTCAGTGCTCATCAGGGATGTTGGTTTGTGGTTTTCTTTCTTTGTTTGTTTCTTTGTCTGACTTTATATCAGGGTAAAGCAGGTGTCTCATACAAAATATTGGCATGTTTTCCTTCCTCTTCTGTTTTCTAGAAGGGATTGTGTAGAATTAGTGTTATTTCTTCTTTAAATGTTTGTGAATTGATCTGATCCTGGAGATTTTTTTCTTAAAAGATTTTTACTACAAATTCAATTTATTTAATAGATATAGAACTATTCAGGTTATCCCTTTCTTTGTTGGTAGGTTTTACTGGTTTGTGGCACTTAGGAATTGCTCCATTTCATCTACGTTGTCCCAATTTTTATGTGTGAAGTTGTCCTTAGTATTCTCTTACCTTTTGAAGTCTGTGTGGTCTGCAGTGATGGCAGTGATGTCTCTTCTTTCATTCCTGATACTGATAATTTGTATCTTTTCTGTTTTTTCTTTGTCAGTTTTGCTAGAGATTTATCAATTTTGTTGATCTTTTCAAAGAACCACTCTTTAGTTTCATTAATTTTTCCTTTTTCTTTTTTTGGGGGGTTTACTGTGTTCTTTTTCTAGTTTCTTAAGGTAGAAGCTTAGATTGTTGATTTTAGGCTTTTCTTCTTTCATAATATGTAAGTATTTGATACTATAAATTTTCGGTTAAGCAGTGTTTTAATGGCACCTATATTTTCATTTTTGTTCAGTTCAAAATATTTCCTAATTTCTCTTGAGGATTGCGCATAGATTATTTAAGTATGTTATTTAATTTCTAAGTGTTTGGAGATTATTCTGTTATTTTGTTACTGATTTCTAGTTTAATTCCTTTGTGGTCAGAGAACAAACTGTTTGATTTTACTTCTTTTAGGTTTGGTTTTATATCTCAGGATGTGTTCTATCTTAGTGAATGTGCTCTGTGTGCTTAAAAAGTATGCATTTTGTTGTTGTTGGGTGAAAATGTTCTATAAATGTCAGTTAAATCCAGTTTATCGATGGTATTGTATAGTTCTAGATCCTTGCTGATTACTTGTTCTCTTTCTTACTAGGAAGGTAGTTTATATATATTAAAACCTAACATTTCATTGTCTACTTAGAGTTGCTACTGTACTACTTCCAGTGGATCCAGATCATCACTGCTATCCATTAATGTGCATTCATAATTTTGGTAGTGAAAAGACTTTTTAAAACCTTTCTAATTTTTTAGGTGTGGCAAAATGAAATGGGGCTAGTGAAATGGGAGAGAAAATTGAAAGCTGATTGTATGAGTATGTAAGCTAGACAATCATGGAAGTATAGTTCACTTGAGCAATTAGATGAAGGATAAGTAATAATTTAAGACATGTTCATCATACGTAGTGATGAATCTCTCCTGTGGAACAGATCAACAGCTGAATTTGGAGGTTCATTGTAGGTTCTTCTGTTTCCTCTGCAGAGCTTTGCTTGGTCATCTTGTTCCGAGTGGTCCATTGGCCTCCGTGTCCCATTTGTGGTGGACATCTGCTCAATGACTTTTGAACAGCTGGATCTCCTGCTGCGGCAAGTGACTGAGGGAATGGATGGCACCGCTGACTGGCCCCCACCCCAGGAGAAAGAGTGCATGGCTGTGGCCACACTGAATCTTCTACGTCTTCAGGTGGTGTTGATTTCCCTTCCTCCTGCTACTTTTATAAGTGTCTTAGGGCTTTGTGAGAATGTTTATGCATAATGAAGGGTATGGGTTCTAACTTGTTAGGTAAACTGATAATGAAAAACTGAAGTCTTTTAAAGTAAGGTTATGATGGAGTAATGTGTATGAGGCTTAAAAATCTCAATCCAGGCCGGGCGCGGTGGCTCACGCTTGTAATCCTAGCACTCTCGGAGGCCAAGGCGGGCGGATTACTCGAGGTCAGGAGTTCGAAACCAGCCTGAGCAAGAGCGAGACCCCGTCTCTACTATAAATAGAAAGAAATTAATTGGCCAACTAATATATATATAGAAAAAATTAGCCGGGCATGGTGGCACATGCCTGTAGTCCCAGCTACTCGGGAGGCTGAGGCAGAAGGATTGCTTAAGCCCAGGAGTGTGAGGTTGCTGTGAGCTAGGCTGATGCCACGGCACTCACTCTAGCCTGGGCAGCAAAGCGAGACTCTCAAAAAAAAAATCCCAATCCAGTTATTTTGTTTATTTTGGAAGTCAGTCTCTGCATGCAGGTAAGAATGTGTGGATTGTGTTATTTCAGCTTTTTGGCATTCATTGGGGCAGGCAGTCTTGGATTTACTATTGTTGTGTATGGAGAAATGACTAGGTGGGACAGCAGATGATTGAGAGAGGGACAGAGCTCAGCTGAGAGACCAGGACTAGCCTGTCTCTTCTCTGAACTTTGAAAAGTCTGTTCAGTAAGCTCAGCTCCCTGCAGCAGTACCTTCACTGCCTCACAGTGGAGGTTTGGGTTAAGTGTCAAAATAAAAGCTACAGAAATCTTCCTTCCTTTCTCCCTGGTAAAGCTATAACTGAAATATTTGGTCATTATATTTGTAGTAAAATCCTATAGCTTTATGACAACACAGTTTTTCTGGACAAAGTAATTTTTCCCTTTTATTACACAGTGATTTCTATGTCACACATCACGTACTTTTTTCATCCCCTCCCCTATTTGGCCTTGGGTTCTAGAAAGCACCGAACTGAATGTAATGTTCACTGCAGTAATTAGGGGTTTGGACCATATTTATCTTCTTCCAAAGTCTTTTATGGCAGCTTATTTGTTAGCAACACCTGTGGTGTCATGTCTTTTCTGTGGATGTGCCCAGCTTGTTGCTGCCATGGTTTACAGTGCTGTTGCTGTTCTGGTCAGTGCTCTGGAGACAGACCTTGTATATGTCTTAGGCTGCCGAGATGTCCCCAGAGGTCACTTTTGTATTCACCTCTCCTGGGTTCTTTGGGTTTCACAGGCTCTAGATGAGTTTTGGTGTTCATTTCTTGATGTGCGATATCTGTACGTAAATGATCAGTATACATTTGATTTCACATCTGCTCACAGGCTGGTCTCTGATTTCTTGTGGGGTCTTTTTCTAGCCAAAGCCTGGTATGAACAGCTTATTGCCCTCTGGCTGTGGTTGGCTGACAGGCAGGTGATCCTGAGTGGTTCCCAGTCTTCTGCCAGAAGCTCACGTTCAGTGAGCTGTTGTGAGCAATTGAGGAGCTGTCCTATTCCCCTGTGGGACATTGGATTGAAGCCCAGAGGCTTGGTCCAGTTTTCAGAGCCCAGGACCTCTTGCTTCCTGCTGTGTGTCCATGTGGGATTCTGGTTTTGCCCTCAAGGAGTTTCCTTATATACTCTTGGCTTGGCTATCTAATTTTTAACAGCTTTTCTGGTTTTATTATATCCATTATTTCTCTATATTTGGAGCAGATTGTCGGGAGTGGGGTAGAAGTTGCTGCTTCTACATTGTTTAGCCCTCTCTTGATCGTGAGCTTTTCCATAAATGTATTTGTAGCTGGGTTAAAAAAAAAATTCCTCTTATAAAATACCTTAAAATGGATTCTCAGCAACTGTGGGTAAGATGTTTTTAGTCCAATTTTTAAAAATACATACACTGAGAAATTAATTTGTTTTTTTAAAAAAATTCTTCAAATTGAACTTTATTCAGTCTTTAATAAGATTTTGAAATTCATTCATTTTTAGAGGTTCTAAGTAAAAATTGTTTTTCTCCTTTCAGTTGCATGCTGCCATTAGTCACCAGGTTGACCCGGAATTCCTTGGTTTAGGTCTGGGCAGTGTCCTCCTGAACAGCCTGAAGCAGACTGTGGTGACCTTGGCCAGCAGCGCCGGGGTGCTGAGCACCGTGCAGTCGGCTGCTCAGGCCGTGCTGCAGAGTGGCTGGTCTGTGTTGCTGCCCACTGCTGAGGAGCGGGCCCGGGCGCTCTCTGCTCTCCTGCCCTGCGCAGGTGGGTTTGGGCGGGGAGTAGGAGTGGACACAGGTGGGGGTCCCAGGAGGGGATGGTGCTTCACTCAAATTGGCAAAAACACTTTTCCTTTTTCAGTTTCAGGCAATGAAGTGAACATAAGTCCAGGTCGTCGATTCATGATTGATCTTCTGGTGGGCAGCTTGATGGCTGATGGAGGGTTAGAGTCGGCCTTAAATGCAGCCATTACTGCAGAAATCCAGGTATAGCCCTAAGCGCTCACATGACCTGACACGGTGTTGCTACCTGGCAGTGAGATGAAATTGATAACACCGTACTCACACATAAAGAAATAACCTATTGCCAGAATTATTGAAAAAAACTAAAATAAAACTTTTGGTCACATAAGTATTATTTTTTAAATTAAAATTATTTTATACTAATAATTTAAAAAAACCATTGAGGTATTATTTAAGTGTGATAAAAAGCTTCCACTTGAAAGTGTGTGTTTCAGTGAATTTGACAGATACCCTTTTCATCATATAGATCATTCCCATCACCCAGAAAGATCCTTTTGCTCTTTGGTACTCAGGATTTTCCCCTGCCCCCTCAGATTAAAGGAATTTTGCCCACTGTAAATGTCACATAAATGGAACCATATAGGATATACTCTTTCAAGTCTGCTTTTCTTTTGCCTCAGATATTGATTTTCAGATTCATTCACGTTGTTGCATGTATTGTGACTTTGTTTTTATTGTTGAGAAATATTTCATTGTATGGTTATAGCACTGTTTGTTTTTCCATTCGCCTATTAAAGCACATTTGGTTGTGTCTGGTTTTGACTATATAGAGCTGCTATGATCATGTTATGTACAAGTCCTTTAGAGTTTTCCCCGTGGGTAAATATTTTATAGTAAAATTTGCTGGGTCCTAGGGTTAGTGTGTGTTTATAGTTTCTCAGAGTGGCTTTGCTGTTTACATGTGAACCAGTGTGTGTGAGAGTGATAGACTCTGTGTGTGGGGTGCACATCACATTGGGTGTTTGTGAGAGCCAGTAGCAGGGATAAAGAATTTAGGGACTTCACAGAAGGAGACTAGACATTGGATCTAAAGGAAGAATAGTCTGTTTAGAAACTGAGCACCTGAGCAGTGGGGTTTCCAATGGATGGTGGGGGCCAGTGTCGGTGGGTGGGTGTGTGTTTAGCACACAAGGCAAGGACAGCTAGGCACTGGGGTCAGGGCCCAGCCTGCACACTTGCTGATCAGATCACTGGTAACCAGTTTCTGTCTTATGAATTACAGGATATTGAAGCCAAAAAAGAAGCACAGAAGGAAAAAGAAATTGATGAACAGGAAGCGAATGCCTCAACATTTCATAGAAGTAGGACTCCATTAGATAAAGACCTTATTAATACTGGGATCTATGAATCTTCTGGTAAACAGTGTTTACCTCTGGTTCAGCTCATACAGCAACTTCTTAGGTAAATAGTATTAGTGGTATTAAATTTTAATGGGTAATTATTGGTTTTCATATTAAGATGGTGAAATCTAGCCAGAGAGTCTCAAAGATGTATTTGGCTGTTGAAGAAAATATTCTGAGAATTGCTCAGAATAGGCCTTAGGGTAAAGAGCAGATTTTTAAAAATGTAGGTCAGTGGAGAAGTTGGAGTGTGTGAGGAGATTCTAAAGATTTTCATGGAAGAGAAATTGAAGAATTGGAATGTGCAATGAACATATAAAAAGATTCTCATCCTCATTAATAAACAGGTAGATGGAAGTGAAAATCATTGTGGTAAGGTTATTTTTTAAAAACTGGTTGTATAATGGCCTCATTCTATTAATATATGTTATAGATTTATATATATTACTTTTTAAGACAATTTTTAATTTAAAAACTAAAGAAAATGAAAGAATGGTGAGTATTATTTTAGAAGACCCAATCAGGAGGAGGTAAGAATAAATCAGAGGCTGACCTTGGCAAAGGCCATAGACACTATTTGTTATAAAAGGTCATTCAAAAAGAGCAAAGAAACAAAGCGAAAGGGATTTGTGTAAGGTTTCAGTTCCCAACCCCCAGGCCAAGGTCTAGTACTGGTCCATGGTCTGTTAGGTGTTAGGGACTGGGTCATACAGCTCCAACACCCCTGCTCCTCCTGACACACATCCCCCCCAATTTGTGGAAAAATTGTCTTCTGTGAAATTTGGGGGGGAGGAGTGTGAGCAAGTATATTTACTATTTACAGCTGCTCCCCATTGCTTACATCACTGCCTGAGCTCTGCCCCCCCCCCCAACCCTGTGGGAAAATTGTTTTCCATGAAACTGGTCCCTGGTGCCAGAAAGGTTGGGGACTGCTGGTGTGAGGGCTTTGTTAGAAATGAAGAACAATTGCACCTCTATTTAAAAAAACTCTTCTTTCTGTAACCTTGGGCTCCTTGGTTTGTTTTAGTTTCTACACATAGAGAAAGTAGTGGCTTTTTCTACTACTGCCTCTGGCTGCCACGCACAGAGCAGAAGGCTCTTAGCCATGTGGTGGGTGGGCATGTGGCAGATCTGCCCTACATAGCCAGAGAAACCAGAATTAAGTGGGCACATGGTGAAATTTTGAAAAAGGACGTTTTAGAGCTAGTTCCTATCATAGAGTTTAGTAAACATTATTTCGAAAAATCTTTTTCTGATTTTGTTTTTCAAATCTCATGTTTGGTTCCCTTTATCAGTATTGCACACATTCTGATCTTTAATTTAACAAACTGAAATAAAGAGTATTGGACTCAGTATAGTCAGTAATAGTGGAAAGAACTTGCTATTCATTTTAGAAAATTTCAGTTGTGATTACTTGTGTAAACTTGGCTGGTGAACCTCCACCCAGCACAGTAACTATAGGAGTAAGAATAAGAGTTATGTTTACTTTCATGGAGTTAGTTAGGATTGAATGAGAGCATGGAGGTTAAGTGGCTTTGTAATTAAAATTTGAAGTTCTGTGCAAAAATTTTAAAGTGAGTATTTTCCAGAAGTGCTTTTCTAAATTGTTGAATGCCCCTCCCTTCACTGAGGAGGCTGTGTCCTGGGCTGTTGGTGTCCCTAACAGAGATTGAGTGCTGGGTTCCTGTCGTGGGTCACTTGTTCTCTTGAGGGGAGGCTCTGTTTTCCTCATCTCCTGCTTGTTCAGGCAGTTCCTGTGGCACGTGGAGACTGTCTGTTTACCTGCGACTGTGTAGGCCCACGCTGTCCAGTCTGGTTACCACTCGCACAGTTGGCTGTTTAGCACTTGAAATGTGTCCAGTGTAGTGGAAACACTGATTACTTTATCTATTAAATTTTTATTAATTAAAATGCAAATTAAAAAACTTGGTTCAGTTATTAGAGAACTTAAGTATGTTTAGAATAACTTGACCCATATGAATCTCCTATTTCAACTGCACATTTTATGAATTTAAGTGCAGAGCAAGTATTTTCAGTGCAAATTTAACTGCTTGAATTTAATGTGCCACATATGTAAGATACACTGTGGCTTTTGAAGACTCAAAATGAAAAGCCAGTGTAAAATATTTCAATATTTCAAGGATTTTCTTTTGGTTTCATGTTGAAATGGAAATATTTTCAATGTAAATATAATACATTATTATAATTAAGTAATTTTGGTTTTTCTTTTATTAATGTGATGAGTAGAAAATTTTAAATTGCACCTGTAGCTCCACTAGTGTCCTCTCTGCTGGATAGCACAGCTTTGTGCCATCTACATGCTTCATCTTCTGTGTCTTCATCTTCACTGAGTGTGTCTTTTTGGACTCGGTGGCATGTGGGGTCCTGTATGGCACATGGGTATTCCACTGCAGATTTATAATAAACATGAACCTATTTAAAAATTATAAAATAAAAATTTAAGCATAGAAGTAATAAATATTGTCTCATAAAAATTTTGGGCAATAGAAACATAAAATTGCATTCATAGCCTTTTCACTAACAGTGCACCTATAATCCATAATTTCATCTATTAATTTTAGAAGCATAGATAATGTCTCCCTCTCCTTACATGGATAGACATTATTTTCTTACGTGTTGGTGATCGAAGGATACTTGATGTGTTGACTTGGCTGATGCAGTTGTTAAAGATAGTCTGAGATATAAGGGATTTTGGAGACATCTCATGTCTCTTTTTCCTTGGAAAACTTGGGTTGAATAAATTGCTGGTTGCCAAAAATAAGCCATGAAACAGATTTAAGAGTAACTTTTTTAGTGTTATGTTGGCAAGGAGCCACAGAATATCATTTATATTTGAAAAAAAGAGCTATGCAGTTTTTATAATTAGTGAACCCCATCAGAATTACACATTTTGATTATGGCTCTAAATTTTATAATGAGGTAAGTTAAAATTTTTATTATATTATTGTCTTTTGCTCCTTCAGACATAGCATAAATGCCAGATTCTAGACCTGTTTCTTCTGTTACAATGTTACCAGGGCAGGTTATTGGGTAGCAAAGCTAGAAGGTGAGGTTGGGTAGCAGTGGAAAGTCCAGTGCATGTCTTTGCTGTGTGTGGCCAGGGCGAGGTGCATTTCCTTCTCAGTGAGCCTGTGGGTGCAACTTGAATTGCTATGGAACTCCCAACCACCCACTCCTCTGTCTCCTCTCCTGTCCTTGTTCACGCTGCTGGTGGTTTCCTAGTGTGAGCCATAGGGGCTAGTGCAATTGACAGTTCTCAGCAAACCTGCTGTCATGTTAGGAATCAAAGAAATGGGGTGAAAAGTATGCCCTGACCCTTGGTGTTGGTCAGAGATCCCCAGGCTGGCCTTTTGGCAGCAGTGCCAGATATTGGCCAGCCTGGCCACTTGCACACCTGGCTGGACAGGGCTGGTGGGATGGATCTGGAATCAGGTCATGCTTTGGTTCTTCTCCCTTCTGCTAGCTTTCTACCTCCAATAACCTCGTCCCTCCTTTGCATTCTCAGTACATGATCAGGTCTGGTTCACCTGGGTCTGGGACTAGTCCTGTGTGGCAGGATTTTATCAGGTGTTCTCCTGCCCCTCTAATCTGCTTTCACACCGACATAGGAGTTACCGTACTCAAATATAGACAAGATGTCATTTCCCTTTCATAACCTCAGTGGCTCAGCATTGCAGAAGCTCGTCCCAGAGCATCTGGGAACAAGGGCACTCTGTGCCCTCCCTGCTTCCTTCTCTTGTTCTCCTTGCCCTTGTTCCCTTGCATTCTGCTCAAGGAACCAGGACTTTCACCATTTTTCTAATGGTACCTTCTGGGAGCTTGTGTTTCTTCTCCTTTCTCCACATCTACTGATGACTCATTAGCTCAAATCACATCGCACAGTTGGAGTTGAGGCCTATACTCTTTTCTTGGCTGCCATGTTCTTTGGGCATTGTTATCCTGACCTGGGGCTGTTTGTACCTACTTTGGTCTTCCTTCCTGTACTCCCTAAGCCCGGGGTACCTCCTGAATGACCCACCCCAGTGCTGCCCTCAAGTAAGTGCTCAAGTCAGACTTGTAAGGCAGATGCAGCAATGCAGACAAGCCTTGTCTTTAAGAATAATATCATGTTTATATTTGAAATGCAGCTTTGGACAGAACATAATGACATAATTATTTTTTCTTTTAGAGGTTTGTACAGAAGTATTTCTTTTTAAGCAAGATCCTCTATCATTTTGGACCATTCCACACAGCTTCATAGGAGCACATTTATAAAGCACAGGGGCATCTTCTGTGTTCCTCTGTGCGATTTTGACTGAGGCTGTGCTTATTGCAGAAACACCTGACACACTCTGGGGGAGGAAAGCCAGCTGTACCTGTGATACTACTTTATGTTATGATTTGCCCTCTCCCCTTTTCCTTTTTAATAGAAATAACTCATTTAATTTTGCAATCATCTTTTTCCTGCATATAGAAACATTGCTTCTCAGAC